AAAGGGTCAGAGCTCTCTAGACGCTAATAGCCTAATGAGACTAAAAATCCCTATACTATCCCATTTATTTCAACCATTTTTATACAAGAAACATTAAAGTTTCACAAAGAGAAAAAAGAAAATAGTTAAATTCCTATCCTTTGTCTACTCCAGGCAGGAGAAACTGTGCAATGTATGCGGCACCTCACATTAGAGCAGGGGCTCACTGGCTTAATAGGCAGTGTTGTATTTCCCACTGCTGTGACATTTCCCTTAATAAGATCCTGTTTAAGTTGTTTATAAAACTTTGACACATTAGCTGCTTGGGCTGAAATATTATATGCTGGGGGTCTGCCTCAGCAGGTGACTTTTTGGTGGAAATTTCAAACAAAACCTGTTGCTGAGAACATGGCTAAGGAAACATACAGAATTTAGCCCATGTCAAAACATTTTTGACAAATTTCCTTTGAAATGATCCAGTACCCCCATTTTGGGGGGCAAGGGCTTGACATTTGGCGGAAACTAGCCATCGTGTCAGTGAGTGGTTTAACTTTTCCCAGGAAAACCTAAGCAGATTTGACAAACATGGCCTTGGAGGGAGAAAAAAAATAAATCAGAGTTCATACAGGCTCAGAAGAGACTTGTTAGCACTCAACAGCTAAACCCCCTGGCGGACCTGTTGACTTCAGAAGAGTCAATTCTGTTACAGCTCCTACATGAGATCAGCAACTGGTGCCTCCTGGCTCTATAGCTGAGTCGAAGGTGGGGGTGGGGAGGAGGCGGTGCGGGGTGGCCCCCCAGCACACTCCCTGGCAGACCCCAAAGCGGACTGTAATTACTTCCAGTCCACTTCTGGGTTCCCTGTCGAGCATGCGGAGGGCCTCCCCGCACTCCTGTGGGACGCTCCATCCACCCCAGCATCATAGTGTTCACAACCTGCCTGGTACCTAGAGATATGTAGAAAAAACATTTAAAGCTATGTCTATATCCGAATCACCAAATCAATTCAGAGGGTTCCGATTCAATTTAGAAAGATTAAAGGGTCTCTTGATTCGATTCAGATTCGGAGATTCAGCCACCGAATTGGGCCGAATCTCCTTCGAATCGAATCAAGGACCAAAGCTCTGCACAGCCCTAGTAGCCATTGCTGTTCCTACCTCTCCTTTAAGTTGGTACCTGGTGTCCCAGTTGCCCACCGCTTCTTATGCTACTGCTCATATATCCTCACCTTGTAACACAAATTTTCTGTTCAGAGCATTGTAACCCTATATTTCAACCAAGACGTGAATTAGGAGGAAGGGGGAGACATAAACTTCAGATTCCTTTGGAATAACTTGGCCTGAGTTTTAAAATCTTATTGAAAAAGAATTCAGAATCTGGTCCTGCCCTGTGAAGACAATGGATGTGCTGCCATGACTTGAGTAGGACCAAGAACGATATGGAACCTTTGTCTTCACTGTGCCTGTACTATTTTGTACCTAAAGGTGGTATGAATAGTCAAGTTCAGCTTTACATTTATGTGCTACACATTTTATGTTTGCTACAGACTACTGCAAGATAGCAGAATACTATAATAACTTATTACTAAAGCTTTACAAAAATGCCTTCTGTTATCATGTGAGGAGCCTACTTACCAAACACAAGGACTTGTGGGTCTCTGTACTTAAGCTACAAACTAAAATGCACTAATTTGGCCAATGTTAAGAGATATCACCACCTGGAAAAAGAAACTATTTAATTCAGATTGTTTCTTTCCCTTTAAGGCTTGAAAAAGTTAACAGAACATATTTCCCATAGGGCTATCATTTTGTTTTCTTATCTAAGACGCATTTTCAACCCAAGTATTTTCATTTATTTTTTAAATTTTCCTTGGAATCTCTGCCCAAGGAACTGTCCCTCTGCTTCAACTGCCATTCAATTTAGAAAACTAATGAATTTTCAATATCATAATCTTTGTTTCCATGGAAATAAATTAATGTCATGAACACTGTATTAAGGCTTCACCACAGAATGAAGCAGAAGGAGAGGCATGCCTGTGAAAAAAAGTGTTTTGACTGAAATCTAAATAACTACAGTAAGGGAAATTATTATTCTCACATCCCTGTGGTCTGAAGTTATAATAAATTCCCATTCTTACAGCTGTGCTGTCATATGTGGATAGGACTGAAGTGGGTCATAGCATAACATTTTCAAACTATTCAACTGTCTCACTCTTAAATATTATGGTGGTCACCTACCAAAAAAACCCAAAAACCATTATCCACATCTTCCAATTTCTGTCCCTTTATGATGTAGTAGTGTGGAAAATAATGAAATATTAGAAAATAGTATACATGGAATTTCCTGAAACTATTACTTTTAGGGCATAAGACTATACCACTAGTCACACAACAATGAATAAAAAGATGCACAGAGATTTTGTCTAGTACCTCCTGGGAGCACAGAAGCCACCATCCATGGAAGACAGGGATCTCTTCATTCTGGGCCAACTTGAAGACCAAACTAACCTCCTTTCTTAGACTAGTATGCTGCTGGTGGGTTATTTACAAGCCAAAAGGCTGCAGCATCTACCTTAAACTTAGTGTTGACCTATACTAACATGCTTTCCCCATGGAACGTCAGCTTCTAGCAAATCTACTCTTGGCCCCTTGCAAGCTGTTCATGGCCCTCACATGCAAAACCAGAGATGGAAAAAGGAATGTAGCTAATAGGAGAACTGGTCTTATACTCCTAAAATTAAAACACCAAGACTCAATCTTGATCCATGACGTGATACTGTAGCTACAAGGAATGATGCTTGTAAACAGCACACAAAGACCTGCAACCAAACACAATTGTTGGGACACCTTTTTCTGGTGCATTACATTTGTGTGTGTCAAATAGCTTTGGTGCACAGTATGTGTAATAGGGCTGTGTAAAGCTTCGGTCCCCGAATCTATTCAGTGGAGATTCAGCCCAATCTCCGAATCCGAATTGAATCAGAGGACCCTCGAATCTCTCCAAATCGAATTGGAACCCTACGAATTGATTCAGAGAGATTGGGAAAGATTCGCTGATTCAGACATAGACACAGCTTTAAATGTTTTTTCTACATACCTCTAGGTAGCAGGTGGCTCGTGAACGCTGTGATGCTGGGGTGCGTGGAGCATCCCACAAGAGTGCAGAGGGCTCCCCAGCGCACTCGGCAGCAGACCCGGAAGTGGAACAGAAGTAGTTCCAATCCACTTCTGGGTTTGCCAAGGAGTATGCTGGGAAGCCCCCCCAGCTCAGCAACTGGTGCCTCCTGGGTCTGGGGGGAGAACCCGGGGTCCCCCCATGGCATGGGGGGAGGGGGGACCTGCGTGCTCCCCAGCTTACTTCCGGTCCACTTCTGGGTTCGCTGCCGAGCACATGGAGGGCCCCCACACACTTCTGTGGGACACTCCATGTACCACAGCATTCACAAGCCACTCTGGTACCTCAAGGTATATAGAAAAAACATTTAAAGCTGTGTCTATGTCTGAATCACTCATTCTCTGAATCAGCATCAAATCTTCAGATACCGCCAAATCGGATCAGGGACAGTGATCTGAATCAACAAATCAAATCATTGTTCCTGATTCAGGCTGAATCTGAATCCTAATTGAATAGGGCCCACTTCACACACCCCTAGTTTGTAACTGCATGAACTGACATTTGTGTAGACACTCATTTACACATGCAATGCAAGAGTTTGTGCAGACCGTAGATATTTTTACAGTTACACTAATGTTCTCATAGCTGAAAATTTTGCCTAATCTACTACAGAAATCTCAATCACAAAATTAAATGAGGCTGGATACCATCTCCAAAAGACTTTCATCTGACTTTGTGAAGTCTCAGTCAGTCCTGTTACCTAATACCCAGTCCTGAATAATAATAGAGAGAGAGTCAACAAGCTATTTCAAAAACCTGGTTGCTTTGGACATTGGTCAAGTTGTTGCATCATGGTTAGGATTTGTGGAATACTTTCATCGTGGTTAGAATTCAGCAGGCGAA